CAGTCTCTCTCTCTATCTCTCCCCTTCGGCATCCCTGCAATTCAGCAAATCTGAAGGCGACGAGGCCCAGGCAAACGAAGCAACAGCTAAGGCAGCATCAAAGTACAACTGGGGCAGTGCACGTTTCCTTTGTCCAAACACAGAAGAAAACTCAACTTGGAGGATACAAAATCACTTGGAGGATCCAATTGGGGCAATGAACTTCATATCAACGATGATCAATAGGTCAATAGGTCCTTCGCACAAGTCCTTTTGTTCGCGCTGAAAATCTCATAAGCACACTTGCGGCGCAGGTCAGGTGCTGCATGTTCCATACAAACTGACACACATAAAAACATATACAAACTGAACAAGTCTCTGAGCATGCAAGTGGGCTTGTCGCAGCCAAGTGAAGGATCCACAAGCCATGCCATGGCCCAGTGTTCGAACAAATAAACCAGAGTCGAATCCAAAAAGGCTGGGTTCTGAGCCAACAAAAGTAGAGTAGGGTCTGCAGTGGGGTGCAGAATTGGTCCTGCCCACCATCCCTTGGGCTCTGTGCCATAAAAAGGATCTGTACCAAAAAGAAGGGTGCCTGGTATGATCAACCTTCCGCCGTTTGGTCAACCCGCTCCCGGCCCCTTGGTCATCTCTGCCATTTCGCACCACCTTCCATGGCACGTCGGGATAGTGGCGGAGGTGGATATGGCCACGTTCCACAAGTCTTGGGGGGATCATTTCCGGGGATTTGAAGAGGTCTTCTGGTTGAAACGTCCAGTCAAACAGCTTTGTTTGCTGCTTTCAATCCCTGTCATTGCGAGTGTCCAAGATATGTCAACATAAAAGCCCCAAAAACAACTCCATTTGGGTGTCTCAAGAAAACGATGTACCAAGTGTTTCAATCAGGGGCAGCCAAGTCTCTCACCTGCGTCGGCGGTGGAAAAGTTGCGTCGTGATACGACTGGAAAGTTGAACCTTTGATCCAGGCAAAAAGTCATGTGCGCCAGTCACCTATAGCCAGGACAAATGTAACAATTGTCCAGCTGAAATTATGCAGCATTCTCACCATGATCCGGCATGCACGATGCGGTGGTTCCAGTATCACATGATCAGGATGCAGTTGGCTTGGACGTCCAAAGTGTAAATTACTAAATCTTAAATGGTTAGGTCACAAATGTCTACAAGACTCTTCTCTGTCTTAGCCTGGAGTCGCTTCTTGCCCAGATCGCTGGACTGTGCACCAGCTTGGCTGTTTGGCTTCGAGCTTCGGCAGACTTCGCGTCTCCCGGGCCAAACGCATTAAAACACCCTCACGCAGCCAGCCAGTCCGAACAGAAAGAACAAGCTCATCGGTGGAGCAACCCTCCGTGCCACCGGTGGGGAGAACCTCCCCTCCTCTCGAAGAGACCTCCTCCATGGCGGAAGGATGCATAGGGCCGGGGTAACGGTGGTCCAAAGCATGCCGTCTCTGAATCCTTTGCGTACTACATTTACCCTAAGGGTTCCAAGTACCTTCTGAGAAGGTGTTTAGGCTGGCTTTGGAGGGTTCAAAGTTCAAAGACCTTGTGAGGAGGTACGACTGGATCCCTGGGGTTTATATCATTGTATGTTCGCCGGACCCAGGCTAACTCTGTGAATCTTTGAATCAGAGATAGCCTAAGTGGTGTTCTTAAACATAATATAATATAATTGTCAGGAGTTCCTTCTAGAAAGTGTTGCAGTGTCAACCGAAAAGCTCTACTCCCTACACACTGCAAGATTCTCCAACGTGACGTGCAGCAATCTAGATCCCCAGCAAGTATCAACATTCAAAACCACCCACTTTCCTTGGCAGGCATGAGATGGTTAGGTGGGCTGATTGGAAGGTAGGTCCTTAGGTGTCCAAGAAAACAGTGTGCCTGGCATCTAAGATGCAACCAATCTAATTACCATGGACCGATCGGTCTACCTGCACAGTCGGCCAGCTGCCCTCCTACGGTGAAACGCACGGTCGGCCTCCCGCTCACCTCTCACGCAAAAAACAAGCGTCGAACCCTGAGCAAGCAGTTCTGCGCTGGGGAAGGTTGTTGCCACGAAACCGAATATCATGGAGTGCATGGGAAGGCGGTGGGAGAGGTGATCTGGGAAATCCCCTGCTTGGTCTGGCGACATCCACCAGTCTGACAAGAACAGCATGACAATCGCCAACACGCTGGTGATTCTCCGAGGCGTCCGAAAATCAAACCGGACGGTCGAACATCACCCTTCGACACATCCCCCGTGTGCCCAGACGCGACCCATGGGACTGCCAGTCTGGACTACCGAGAAACGGCCAGGGGTGGTGCCAGGGGGGTCAATGTAGGCATATGGGAATCCCATGGAGAGTCCGGGGTGTATATACCAACATCGGCCCGGTTTCAACTACCCCAACTTGATCGGCAAGTATGCCTGGGCGCGGCTGAAGCCAGGATGGATGGCAACACCTGCCCAAAACACACCTCAACTTTTCCTCAGCATCCGTTACAGTGGATGGAGAGTAGATTCCACACCCCCCCAAGCTGAGTGGCTAATATATGGACCTTCATCTCAAAAACATGTAGGACTTCGTAACATCGAACCTCTGAATCTGCTGTGTCCAGCTGGACCTCTCACCAGGCGTCTTCACCCCGACCAACCCCCTCCACTTGACTCGACCATTCTCTCTCATCGAGGTGCGGTGCCATCAAGGTGGCCTTGGGACGGACGACAACGGTGAATCGGTGTAGTGCCACACAAACACGTGGGCGGACGACAGGATTGGAACAATAATCATCAGCCAGTGGCTTGGGTTAAGGATGTTGAAGGGAAAATCTACAGGGGACCCGGGGACCCATGGCTTTCATCCCCAGAAAGATGAATCCTGTAGATCTTTCCTTAAACCCAAGTCTGGGGAGGAAACTGAATAATCCCGAGTACCAACTTGAGAGAGGAGGGGGTGAACGAAAGGTAGCAGGGAATCTGGCGCAACCCTGGAAACACTGGTATTAATGGTATTCACGGTGTTTTGTGGCCACTTTGAAGCGTACATAGCTTGAAACCATCCCAATATACAGGGTTTTGTGGCAGGAAGGTGCAGAAGCCCGTGTAAGTACCGTCGCTTTGTGCCACTTTGATGCCTCCAAGCACCGCAAAAGCCCTTTCCGCCACAAAAAAACCTGCAAATAGCCACTCTTGAAGATAGGAGGAGCTGAATACACATGAAAGCACTGGTATTTACGATGTTTTGTGGCCACTTTGAAGCGTACACAGCCCAAAACCATCGCAATTTACGGGGTTCTGTGCCGGGAAGGCGCACAAACCCATGTAAATACCGTCGTTTTGTGCCATTTAGAAGCCTCCAAACGCCGAAAAAACCCTTTCCGACAAAATCTTTCCAGGTTTTTGGCAATTGTTCGACCATTTTTGAAGCCTAGACACTTCAAAAACCATCGGTTTTTACGAGGTTTTTGGCCGGACAGCCGCAGAAAACCATGTCAATTGCGTGGTTTGAGGCCACTCTTGCAGACTGGAGGCGCTGAAAACACTGCTATTTACAGTGTTTTGTAGCTGTTGACAAAAACCCGCGCCAGGGTGGAGTTGAAAGGGGGGGGGGCCACGGGGCCCCCCCCCTCGGCCCTTAAAAGTAAACGTCGAAGTCGATTTCTCAATGAGATGGGTGTCCACTAAAGCAAAAGGAAAACTCAGGTAGCGTAACCGCTACCTTTCGTGATTAAAACAGCCTCCTCAATTAAAAACACAACGTCCGAAGCCCTAAATTTGGTTTATATTTGTTTTAACTTACCGCCCTTTCAAACCACTACTAAACTACCAACATGGTCGATTTTGGGGGTAGTTTTTTTTTAAAGTTTCCAAAAGCAACCGTAACTGCCCACCTCTGTCCGCCCTGTTGCACCAGCAGGTTTTCCTTCCTCTAATGGCACGGACTCACGCAAACGCACTTGCCACCGAGGTCGCGCAAAAAACCGCATGGCACAGCGACATTACCTTTCGAAAGCATTGGTTGTTATAACGTTAATTAGTCTAATGAATAATAAGTATATTCGAACAAAGGTTTTTGTAGGGGAAAAGGAAGACCCTTCGATCTGGAGGTTTTTTGAATTTTTGATACGAGTTTAATAAATTGATTTTATATATTAAGTTTTTCTGGATTACTTTTTGGTTTTGAAGCTCTTCCCAGGTGACCCTATATTGGACCCCCCCGATTTCAGGGACCCCCTATTTTAAAAAACATGTGACCGAGTTTCTCTTAATAGAAAAGGGACCCGTGTTTTTTAATAAGTGGACAGGATTAAGCAAACTGGAGGATGACAGGGACTCAAGGTATCCTAACTTGGTCGGTTTCTTGACCGAAGTTTATTCGAGATGGCAGCAGGACTTGTTGAAGCCTTCTTTGGTCTTTCTAAGTTCTCCCGTCTCCCTGTGTCAAACTTGAACAACAAGGGGTAGGACCCCCCCTCTCTTTCTGGTGACACGAGGTGGTACCCCAAGGCCTTCTTCAACGCATCGCGGATATTTGCGAGGTGCATTCGGCTAAATGTAGGCTCCTGATGAAATATCAAGAGGTTGTTCAATCCAATAGGGGGTTTTGTTAATCAAAAGGCATATTTATCTAAGGTTACAATCGAAGTGGTGGGGTTGCTGAATGACCTGCGTTGTAGTGGGCCCTGCCTACCGTTTGTGAAGTAAAACAAACTCCGTGTGCCAAAATGCCTTCCTGCGACAATGTTGAGCAGGATAAAGTTCACGATAGTTCACGTAATCAACCCACTAGTACCTGCAGAATCCTCAAAATTATGTTGCATACTCTGAGCATATCCCATTACCAGCAACAGTGGATGATAATGGTCGCTAAAGACCTTTCACAAATATTACTCTTTTACCGACTGTCACTGGTAATGAGACACATCTGAATCGAACTTATATCATCTTATATCTAATCTATTGATGTACAAATTGTCCACATTTACCCATAAAGCAAGGGAGATGGGGGAGACCCACTTCCTTCACTCTGAGTCCTTCAATCCTCGGAGCCATCGACTGACGCCGGCAAAAAAGCAAAACCGGTCCAAGTGGCATAAACGACGCGATAGCAGGATTTCAGGCCTTGCGGCAGGAATCCCACTTGCAACTTCACCTGAGCCATTCTCCGCAGCTTTGAAGATGTTCGAGCAGTCTAGCATGTCCGAATTGATGGGGGTAGGCTGTCCGGGTGTGGAATCCATACATCTCCAATTCCTATACCCTCTCCATCCGATTCAAAAAGCGACGCTGTTTAAACATCTTCTGCTCTCCACGCGATGTCGAACACACGACCGAACGCCGTCGAATCCAACCATGATCGAATCAAGCGAAGCTCAGGTCCCAGGTGCGCTTCTCATCTGGTCACCCCATTGGTCACCCCGCTGGACCTTTAGAAAGCCATGTCCGGTGCCTTGATTGAGGCCATTTCAGACCAGGGACCCCCCCCGTCTCGTTCCTGCTGTTTCAGACCGTTCCAAACGCCCCATGGCTCGTATTGGTCTGTTCTTCTTCCGAGGGCCCGAAGACACGTCTGGGTCATGGCGTCATGCGACGCCGACGCATATGAATTGGTGGATGGTCGATTGTAGACATGGGTTGCCAAACAAAACAAGTCATAATATAGATCCCAATCCCGTGGAGCATGGTTCACTGCAACAAAACGGTTGGATCTCTATGGCCCGTGGTTTGGCGACGGACTGAACATACAGGATGGGATGGGGCTGTGTGGAAGAAGAGTGAAGCCTTGCAACCTTACACATCATGCCTGAAAACAGCATGGCCTCGTTCAATTTGCTGCTGCATCACCAGTGTAGGAACCACAATTGACAGTGTAAGCAGCAACAAGTGGCTTGAAATGCACCCTGTGAGTGTCGAACTGATGGTTTGAGGGAGCATACTTCCCCTTCCACCCTCCACTCTGATCACAGTCACCAGCAGGGAGTAGAGCCAATCTGGCGAGGGCTTTCCCGCCTGGCCAGCAATAATGACCGTGACAAGCACAAGAAACATCCATCTTATCGCCCCAGTCGTGTTTCCAGCGCTGGCGAAACCGGGATCCAAGCAATGCAGCCAGGTCCGCAATGCGCAGGAAACGACGGAAACGGCTCTTCACATGAAGGAACCCCCCAAGCAAACAGATGGTCTCTATGTCCGACAGGTGGTTGCTTCTTCCACCAGCGCCATAGAGCGAATCAAATGGAACCCCATGTTCTCCATCGCCCTGGTCTAGAAAAGCATGGACATGCTGGCAGTTCCCACACCAAACAAAGAAGGTTACTCATCCTTTTATACAACTCTGTGCTTCTTCCAAGGTCTACTGCGACATACCTTCCGGTGAACTCATGTGTCTGAGTGCCTTCTCGAATGGGTTCATGACAAGTCCAATGGCCAGCACGCCTCTGGCAGTGGGAACATCGTGCCCTGCATGCCTGGCAAAGTAGACCTCAAGTCGCAATGGGATACCGGTACCTTGCATCCCACCAAATCGTGGTCAAACTACATACAAGTACAGAGTGCACTTGATCCAAGAACGTCCAAGAATCAACCCATGCATAGCCCGTTGTTTGGTCCCCGCTTCACTGTAGAACAGGTCACCTTTTTGTTGAAGTGCTTCATCATCCTGGTGCAGTAGCTGCAAAGTCTTTGAGATAGTGAAGAAGCAGCTGCTTCACCAAGACATAAATTACCAGGATAATCGAAACGGCAAATATAAAGTGCCTTTTCAAGACCAAATGCTGTTACCGGTGTCTTTTCCCCAAAAAAACGGTGGTTTCTGTCTTGTTTGTGGCCAGGCGGAAGGAGGCAGAAACCAAACCAACCAACAGGGCTTCAGTGCCAAATTGGCGCCGTCTTGAGGCGTCCAACGAAAACAGCGCCTTGAAACCGTCGGATTTGGAGCACATGGGCTGCAAACCCTTAATATCAACGGCAATCGTGATGGATTTCCGTAATGCATCCGGCAAAACATTTGTGGCGTTTGAAGATTAATTACATATACAGTGTAGTATATGTGTATTGTATGTTCACACTTAATATCTTTCATGGGAACCCCTTCCGCGCAGCAGTTCTTCCAGATGGTCAGCCCTCGTCCTCCTGCGCTCTTGTCAGGGTTGATGCCTCTGTTTGAAAGCTTAAGTTGAAAAACTAGAAGCATCTAAAGGCCACCTATCCCACCAACCAATCCGAGATGGCCATGCATCACAACGCAGTCTTGATGTCAAGGCGGACATGTTACCAACACAAAGTCTCACATTTCCCAAACCGCTCCTCCGCCTGCGTTGAACCCGTTGTTCGCGACGCTTGAAACGCTCGCGATGCTTACGGCCCAAGTGGCTTGACGAAGACGGCGCGCCGGTGGCTGAACTCATCGAAGCCAAACTTACCGTGATAAGCGCCTGATTAGTCGGCGTTTTTCGGTCCAAGTGCGGAGGTTTTTTGGTTGAGGAACATGAGAAACACCGGAAACAGGATGGAAAGGTTTGAAGTACATGGGACTGTGACTTCAAAAAGGCCCTGGTTATTTGAGACAAGACCTAACTCAAACACATGACCCCTTAAGACAAATCATTTGTACCAGTTGCATCCTTCAGGATCAATGGGGTATGACAACTGGAGAAGAAAGGTCCATCCAGCTGCATCGATTGTCAGTGCGTTGAGGTGATGTTTTCTATTTTTTCCAGGTGCTTATAGATGTTATATAAGATCTGACAAACCTGGTAAACAAAGGCCAAACTCATTCATTGTTATTAAGTTATATATATTATATATACACATATGATTTCACTGTGACTTGTTTAATGAAATCGATGTGACCCACTTCTAGGATCGACACATGATCTAATCTGGGCACGTCGGGCTCGAGATGAGGAGCTTTGACCCCCTTGATTTGATTCGATACTTGCGAATCCTTCATAGGTGCTGAAGGGCTGGGGACGCCGGGGCCATGCGTTCCCAAACACTGCATGCCATCGAGCCACCATCTACCCCAAACACGACTGATGGGACTGATTGAGGTGCATGGTTGAAACAGGGTCTATATACCCTAGAAATCCAAATACCTTCTCAGAAGGTACTTGGACCCTCCAAACCTGTCTCCAATCGCCTTCTTCTCAAAGGGTATGTGGATCCATAGGGATAAAGGCATACAGCATATCACCAGTCCCGAGGAGTTTGTGGCTACTAGGACCTCTCTTCTTTCGGCCATCACGGAATTCGGGAGTGGCCGATGGCCCCCTTTTGCACTATCGACCCACAAGAATCTACCAGAACTCCTAACGAACTCATTAGTCGTTGAAGTGGGAGGTCCCACTTTGAGGTCCCCACTTTGGCTTCACGCCACACCTATGAAACCGATTTCCGACCAAAAGTCTCCTCACGAAGTCCTTTCCAGCCATCTGAAGCGGAGAACAAGCACCGCTGGGGTGCCGCACCCATGCCGGACTCCCCCAAGCCACCTGACGAAAGGAACTGAACCACGGAAAGTTCGTCGCCAGCGTGCCAGTTTGGCACGAAGGGTATGGGGTTTAAAAGCTGCCTGTAGAACTGCTGCGGCATGGAACGTGCCCACAAATTAGGCTCAAAGCCTCCACTGAAGGTGCTTGGACTGGTGCTCCTGACTTTGAAAGCATCCACAGAAGTGTTTGGTGACAAGATATATCCATAGACATACCTGAGGGCATCGCTGCTATATGTTAACATGTCGCTGGTTGCCCTGGAGTAGAGATAGGTTCAACCCTAGGTGGTAGACCTTGGACCATGTCTAACTAAACCCGCAAGGCACCAAATCATCCTGATGAATCCTCCCATCCCAGTGGACACTAAATCTACAGCCAGTGATTTGAGAGGCCTTTGGGTGGCATGTTCCCCGCCGAAAAGCATACGGGGGGACCGAACTGGATCTCTGGGGGCGCGGGCCCAAGGGCAGCGTCTCTGGTAGAAGGTGCTCGAAAATGGTGTTCACACCTCAGAGGGCCATCAGCTTTTACATCCATCACAAGCAAAATATCTGCGTTCTCCAGGGAAGTCGCAATGAGCGAACCTACCAGTGAACCTGTTACCTTAGTCAGAAATGGCCATCATCAGCTATGGCCTACGAGCGAATGGTAACTGGGCACATCAGTGGCGCGATGTAACGTAGTGGGGCCAATGATGGCCAAGCAGTCACCAGTCACCTGACTCCCTCAGTCCTCAGTGTCCCTGGAAAAGAAAGGTTACATAACCTTTTTACGCCGCTTCGCAATCTCTCAAGCCATAACTCATGTTGGCCTCACCATAGACACTCCGGACGTATGAAAAGAAGTCTCAATGTACAAAACAAACAACCCTCCGAACTAAGCACCGTAGTGTTTGGCGGGGAAACCAATCCACCAACCAAAATGATAAAGCTTGTCCACTGACATAGGAGTCCAGTGGCCCCTAAAGGAAGGTTAGCCTCTGGTGGGAAGCGACCGAACAGGCCCAGCAATCATTGCCACAAGTGACCCTGTGTGGGATGCAATCATGTGCAAAGCTATTGGGATTGGAAGAGAGAGAGAGAGAGAATACAAAGACCCTAGCAAACTCCAAGAAGGGTTCGTAGTGACCATGAGCAAACCTAATCAAATGACCTTTGAGATGATCTTGTTCAACCACCCAACTTTATCCCCAATATCACTGCCTGGATACAGAATGTTTATGTTACGTTTCACCAAACGCCAAAGCAATTAGAAAACCTTGCTCATGTTGTGTTCGGCCGTTTCCTCAGGCACCTCCTGCACTCGCCACCTTTCGTCGTAGAAACCGTCGCCCAAAAAAAAAAAACATGCCGAAGACGCAGGCTCCGCCACTCTGAATGTAGTTGAGTGCTTTCTCCACATTACCTGCGCCAGGGTTGAAGTCACATCAGAGTCTATCCGTGTCTATTCCATGACCCCTTCGAATAGCATCTTATCTTCCAGGGTTGGGGTGGTCAGTGGGTGAGACCCTACTCAAAAAACAGTGCTGTCTTTCTTCTACTGTGAGCTGGTGGGTATGTGCCAACTGTGGATTCGCCCACGCTTTCGCAAAAGCGCCAAAACCGCCTCCACCTAGGCCATCCCAACTCCCCAATTAACACACCAACCTTCATTCACACACCAATCTTGCCGAAAAGCGTGAGCTCTCGGAGAAGATGTAGAAGGCCAATGGAATCTCCTGCTGGACATGAGGCAAGACCAGGCAATCATGGTGGGAGTTTCTTCCTTGGAGGGGAGGCAAAACGAGAGGACAATGAACCCATAAATAGATGTTCTGGGTAAGTGTCTACATGTTGTTTGCACTCCTTTTTGCACTCTTCCACTGCCCTCCACCAGTGATGATACAGGCCTCCCAAGCCACATCCTTTCTCCCTTGTTGTGAGTTTGGGTGAGCAGTGCCGTTGTCCAACGTACAATCTTCACGATCGTACCGCACGATCTTCTTGGGTCTGCAGAGTCGAGTGGTGGAAGGATTCTGAGGGATCGGTTCGAAGAGGAAAAAAACACCATGAACCCAAATGATTGCCATGATAGGGAGTATATAATATCCATGCAGGGCCTCAAGTTCAGGATCATACATGGAACTGCGTACCCGGATCAAACAACTCCTCCGAATCGTCCAAACTTGTCACATCGTTTGGAGGTTCGGGAGAGTCCGTTGGATCTCTGTTGAAGATTGGCTCAATGTTTGCGGCGGATGAGGACCGCTGCGTTTGCCGTTGGGCTGTTCCAAAATTCATCCCCAAAGGCTGAGTACCGCTGCAGTCCTTCTTTGCGCGGATCGTCTTCAGCACGGTACTCAGGCGAATCCCACGGTCGAATGTGATCGGTGTTATTTCAAGTCGGACGGTCGACGGTTCAAAACAAGGGCACCAGGCACCAGGCACACCAATCGCATGCGGCAAATGAAGAAACACATCACCCAAAGCTGGCAGCCGAGGTGTTTCTCGGTCATGTCGGATAGATTTGTGGTCCAATGAAAATAATGACACTGCTTCTGAGTGGCTCCAGGTCATCGTACCTCATGGGAGCGCTTGTGATAACGCACGCCGAACCCAAACGATAAAGGTTCGGCGTCTCTGGCTTCACTTTTGCATGCCCATCGTTGGACAACAGGAACATCTACACTGCTTGATCGTTGTGATGTGGCGAGCTCCGGCGACGGCGATGCAAATCGGAATTCGCACTCATGAATCAGGAACATAGCCTTCACTCAGGTGTGGCAACATGCGATTGACAAATCCTGCCAAATGTTGACATGGTGGAGGGCAAAAGCAAAATGGGGACGTATGCCACATTGGATGGGAATGCAAAGACCTCGCTTGAAAACTCCTCCGTTTGCTTCTTTGCAGTTGACATTGGATCATGAGAATCAGCCCTGGTCCAAACAAATCCAAATGGTACAAACCACGGTTCCACTCCAACTCCGTTTCTCTGACTCCTGGCAGCTCAAAAGCTGCACTCGTCCAAACCCTGGTTTTGGACCCGAATCCTCTGCCGACCGGTGGCGGAAAGACTGGCAGCACCGGGCCAAAGATCTCCTCCTGAGAGGCTGAGGGGGTTGGACTTCGCACCTGCGTCTAGCTGGGATCCGGCCTGGCTGCCATCATCCTGTCTGGGTGTCCTGGCGTTTGACTAACCTACCCTACGTAAACAGGTCTCCAGACAGGGCACCCGTTGGAAGTGCTGCCAGGCATCTTTTTTGGGATTCAGGTGGAGTGGATCACCAGGGATGGAGGTGAGTCATGTCAAATGTCACCGTTCTTTCCTTTTTCCCCTGAACAAAAACAACTCGACCCTGCTGTCTGTTTTTTCCCATGTGCCCCATAGAAATGGGATTGACTCACTCCCACTCCAAAGTGGGACACCTGGGTGATTTCAACTATCTCAGTCTATATGCTCAAGACTCTATTCAATTTCAGTTCTGGGGTGTTATTTAATTACTATAGCTTCAATAAGTCTTGACCAAAAATCAGGAGAATGGATGAGAATGGAGGTTCATAATATGAGATCCAACACCTCAGTTACTGCAGGAAGCCTCCCATGATGGCAGGGCACCCCCCCATTCAAACCTGTAGATCCAAAAAACGCAATGGCTGATGTGATGTGCACATCCTGCAAGAAGCTAATCTAAATCAATGTGCCCTGGGTGCAATTGCCATCTTTTCTGAGCTCTCTCCCTGTGGCCTGGGATGATACACTTGTTTCTGACACCAACCAAGCAACCAACCAACCAACCAAACCAAACCCAAGCCAACCAACACAGTAACATCTCCAAGCACACCTGCTCCTCAGCCAGCAACCAACCCACACTCGCTTAGGCTTACGGTGGCCACCGTAAGAAGTGCGGCTCCAATTCTCGGCTCCGCCTGCATGATGGGCGCATCGAAGTTGGGTCTCTGGATCACCGTCGGTGGCACAAAGCGGTTCTCGCGCTCGATGCCCTGGCGTCGTTCCCGCGCCCCCGGCGAGGTCAACCGTTCGGGCGTC